AATATTTGTGAAATCTAGTAAAATAAACCCCTCTATTTTAATCCTACTAATCACATAATTCATTGACGTCTTGAAGTTATATACCAGTATACCTGAAAACAGACATTAATTATGATAGCAGACATAGAAGACGTTAAAACAAATTTTAGTTAGAAATATCAAGAAAGTTTGAAGAAGTTAAATATTGAATATGTTTCAAGAATTGTCCTCACATATACCATCCTTCAACTAGTCACAAATATGCCTCTTTCCCTCCTTCCCTACCTCTCCTCCTCTTTCTCTCTCTCTCTCTATAATATTATATATTTAAACTTAAGTTCAAAATCACTGAATTATATAGTATATAAAATATATTTGTTATATGTAATAAATGTCATAATTTTAACTTTCATGCTTTTAAACTAAAACTTTAATGTATAAATATATATACTTTATAATAAACATAAGCTTATGTATTACATATTATAATAAAGTTAAATAACTCTAAATACATATATAAATAATATGTAAATTATATATGATATATCTATATATAGATGCTGTATATAGCATCAAAGCTAAATTATAGCATCTATATATTAGATAATTTAGTTTTGGTGCTTTTAAACTTAATTTAAATATTAGCAATTTATTAGGAAAATGTAATTTTTTAATATGTACTTTTTAGATGACATTGTAATCAGACCTTCATATTCTCAGAACAGAATTTTTTGGTTAATATGTGAAAAAATAGGACTTCGTTGTAAAGCTTTGAATTTATGTAGATTTTAGGAAAGCACTTCTTTATATAGAAAAAATCCCTATGTTTGTAACATTACTAATAAGAAATAGTTAACTTACTGAGTGAGAGTTTTCTTCTAGGTTCTAAATGGGAGCATCATTTCCATAACTAGAATTTAAAAATTGATCCCACGTTAGTTTTTAACCTAGCTGCTAAAAATCTCAATCAGATCCAAAGCCCTAAGTACAACACTTAAATTGTATTTTAGTTTTCCTTCACTCTGATAGTTTTATTTTTTATTTGTATCTTATTTTATTCTGGAGGTTGGTTTTAAGATCCTCAAATTCTTGGTCTTAAGAAGTGAAATTTAAATAAATTCTGAGAGGGGGTTAAACATAATAATTTATAGGAGGTACATGGCACCTATCATATCTACTGGGTTGAATAAAGAAATACATGTTTCTTTAAAAGTAAATATTTTCTTCTAAATTATATATGTATGAAATAAATATAAATGTTGGTATTTCTGTCCCTGTATGATTTTTCCTCCTCAAACTTCCTATGCCTTACCTATGTGTTATCAGAGAACATTTCTACATATTTTCAGTCACAAAGGGGCAAAAGCTTTATAAAGCCAAGGCAAGATGGGAGGAAAGTTTAGAGTTGCTAATTAGTTTATGGTAATTATTTATAAGAATATTATACAAATCATATTGTATAACATTTAGTCATATTGTACAAAAAAAGATGAGTCAACCTTTTTAGGTCATTTATCCTAGCAATGCTTTTGCTTTTGCACGTTTGAACATTTGGGGCAATAATTGAGGCTTGATAGATATTTATACTTCCGTATTTTTAAGGACCTTTCCATCCATAGTGGCTAAAACAAAATTGCACAAAGGAGCTTCAGAAAGCACTCAAACGAGCTTCAAAATCCCTGCATTAATAATCAGAATCCTAAATACCAGTCAAAACCAGCGACACAGAGATACTGATACTTTGGGTAATGTACATGTATGTAAGTTATAATGAGATCTGATTACAATTCCTCTGAACACCTTTGGTCTTTTTTTAAAAGATTTACTCTTTTGTGCTATATTTTTAGCATTTACTAGGCTAATCTCATGTATTCTTTTTAATAGGATTACATTGACAAATAGGGATTGCTATAGTTACTGAGTAGTAGAGTTTGGGACTTTGAGGGGACCTCAGAGATCATGTTGTTCAGTGAGGTATATCTTCATTTAAGGAAGGCATTTGACATTGTACCTTGACACTTTTTGAGAATAATATGGTTATATAGTAGATAATGTTGTCACCTGGATTTGGAAGTAACTGAACAGTCATACACAAACTTTGTTGATAACTTTGTGCCAGCTTGCAGGAGGCCTTCCAATGGCCTTGCATTGGCTTTTTTCCCCTCTGGACATTTATAATAGTTTACAAGAATATTTGAAAGGAAGGGGGGATGGTATTGCAGTTAAGCTCACCAGTTCATTTGATTGGCAACATGGGTTCATATAACACATAAACATAACAAGTATTCATAAATATCTATTAATATTTTATTAATATGTAATTATCTATGTTAAATGGATTTATATATGATGCAAAACTCTTAGATGTAGTAACTATCAGAGACAACAGAATGAGTGTGAAGCTATTAATTAATTTGCATAATAAAATGAAAAGATTGAGGAGAACTTTGTTAATAAATATTATAGAGTGAACAGCATCATGCAACTGTTAAAATCTAATTCCATTTTAGGTTTTTAAGGATATAATCATAGTATATTAAATATAGTTGTTTACAGTATTTTACATTGGTCTGTCCTTTCTTCAAAAAATATCTGTTGAGTGTCTGCCCAAGTGCTAAGGATTCAGCCCCATGTTTATGAGGGTTAGATGAAATTTGGAAAGAAAGTATAAAAATTCTGTCCTCATGTAGGTTTAAGGATATAGATCCATTTGTAAGAGTAGAATAAGGTATGTTAAAATTTGATAGCCCTTTTCAAGTATCAAAGTCTATGAGAATGAAGAGGAGCCAGCCTTGTTTATTATTTAAAAAGACCAAATCAGAACTATTAATTATTAGTTACAAAGTGGCAGATATTAGCTCAAAGCTATGAATAACCTTGCTCCTATGAAAACTATTTTATAAGGTATTGTGCATTTACTCATAAGGTATGAAATGCCTTTGTGGAGGTATTTATTATTTTATTAAGGTCATATTGGTTTATAACTGTAAATTTCAGGTATACATTATTATATTTCAGCTTCTGTATAGACTGCATTGTATTCACCACCAATATTCCAGTTTTTATCCATCACCATACATATGTGCCCCTTTTGCCCTCCCCACACCCTCTTCCCCTCTGAAAACTACCAATCTGTTCTCTTTATCTATGTGTTTATTTGTTTATCTTCCACATATCGGTGAAGTCGTGTGGTATTTGTCTTTATCTGTCTGACTTATTTAGCTGAGCATAATACCCTCAAGGTCCATCCGTGTTGTCACAAATGGCACGACTTTGTCTTTTTTATGGCTGAGTGGTATTCCATTGTATGTATATATCCCATCTTTGTTATCCATTGTAAATAATGCTGCAATGAACATAGGAGTGCATATATGTTTTTGAATTAGTGTTTTCATGTTCTTTGGATAAATACCCAAAAGTGGGATAGCTGGATCATATGGCATTTCTGTTTTTAATTTTTTGAGAAATCTCCATACTGTTTTCCATAGTGGCTGTACCAGTTTGCATTCCTACCAGCGATGTATGAGGGGTTTCCTTTTCTCCATATCCTCTCCAACAGTTGTTATTTCTTGTCTTTTTTGTGAGGAAGATTAGCCCTGAGCTAATGCCTGTGCTACTCTTCCTCTATTTTATGTGAGATGCCACCACAGTGTGACTTGATGAGTGGTGCTAGGTCCACACCTGTGATCCAAACCCGCAAACTCCTGGGCTTCCTAAGTGGAGCGCTCAAACTTAACCACTATGCCACTGGTCCAGCCCCCTCTTGTCTTTTTAATACTAGCCATTCTGAAGGGTGTGAGGTGGTATCTCATTGTAATTTTGATTGGCATTTCCCTAGTAATTAGTGATGTTGAACGTCTTTTCACGTACCTGTTGGCTATCTGTATATTTTCTTTGGAAAAATGTCTGTTCAGATCCTCTGCCCATTTTTTGATTAGGTTGTTCTTTGTTTTGTTGTTGAACTATGGAGGTATTTAAAACAAAAACTAAAATGCGTCTGTCTAACTTTCCTTAATTGTACAGAATATTGACGTTGGGGGGGAACTATGAGTTCTAAGAGGTCTGTAAAGTTGGATATAAAAAATTTTAAGTGAAATCTAACTTTTTTGTAAATTAGGAATCTAAGCAGCAAACTATAGAATAACAATAGGCTTACTTGTGACTTTGTCCCTGATAGAACTCACAGATATTTTCAAATCACTTGGGAGTTGTTGTAGACGTCACAAAATGTTTATAGCTATCTACTTCAAAATTATAATTATCAAAGTCACCACTAGATCTTCTTATTTAGTGTATTAATAAGGAAGCATATATATACACACAGACATATATATATCCATATCTCCAATTTTAAAAAATGTTTTGATAGTTGTATTTCAGTATAATTTTTCTTTGTAACCCTGTATTTTATTTTAAATATTCAAAAAAACATTCTGAGAAGGAGACCCATAGACTTCACTGCAAGAATGGTCCCTGGCATCGAAAAGAGAACTTGTGATCTAACTAAGACTTTGTAGAGTGGTATTGATAAACTCTTCATAGCTTCAGAATTTAAAAGGTTCTTCCAGTGAATGGGTTCTGCTGAATTCTCAAATATCACAGAGAAGCACTCCACCTTTTCTCTGCTCCCAACACCCAAGGGATATATTAAACAATCTTATCAGGACCAGTGGTTTAATTCAAGAGCATCTGAATGTGTGTGTGTGTATGTGTATGTGATGTGTATGTGTAGGGTGGGAGTACAAGATGTAGTTTTCAACATTCTCCAGAAGATTCATATCCCCATTAAAAAATAATTGAAAATGTAAGTTTAAGCTGTGTTAAAGATCTTTATTAAATGTGAAATACAGGTTTTTAGTGCTATTCTTTCCTGTATTTTTTTACATAAGAATAGTTTGGGCTGCCCTCCAGAATGTGATGAGAAGGAAGAACACTTATTGGGGAAAGCTATTCATTTCGCCTTAATAATGTACTTATTTTTATTTAGTTCTCTGAAGTGCCTTTTTTTTTTTTCCTTAAAGAATCCTGATGTAGTCCACCCGAAAGAAGCACCTCCCTCATCTACTTTTACTAGTATTCGACCTGCACGAGTTGTATCTTCAACTTCTGAGGAAGAAGAAGCATTTACTGAGAAATTTCTTAAAATTAATTGCAGATATATTACCAGGGGCAAGGTAATGAATAACACTCTAGAAAAAAATCATGCTGTATTTATTACTAAAATACGACAATTTGACATTTACATTTCAAGTCATCAACATCAGCAAGTGCTTGAATATTTAAAAAAGGTATTGGTGGACCTACTAGTTTGGGTTAGTGTGGACCTTGCTTATAAGTTATAATCTAGTGGTCTGTTGCAGTTGTTAAAGGCAATTTGATATGAATAGATTCACTACAATAAGGTGCAGTTAATTTGCTGTTGGTTGAATATTTAAAAAGCTGATATAAAATGACCATTAATGGGCACTATTTTGAATGTTAACTCTTACAAACTTAGTATAACACATGAAAAGGAAGACAACTACTGTTTATTGACTACCTACTATAGACCAGAAACTATATGAGGTGTTTTAATTATTCTATCAACTCAAAATAATCCTGTGAAATAGATGGTCCTATTTCTTCTTCAAAGGAAAACAAACTTTCATAAAAGGTTAATAAGTCCAAGGTTTCTCATTCATGGCTGGAATTCAAACCCAGTTTGAATCTATGTTTTATCTATCACACGTTGCTGATTTTCTAAGCAAAGAAGTTACAGTTTATAAAGGAAATAAAGTAACACAGAATTGGAAAGTAAACTCCAAGTATTGCTTAGAAAGTAACTATGGGATGATACTGACTTTAGAAGTCACACATAAGAACCATTACTTTATAGTCATAATTCATAAGTTGTATTTGAAATACAGGTGTTTAGTGCTATAAATTGCCCCTATGTACTGTTTTAACTGCATCCACAATCTTGGTATGTTGTATTTTCATTTTTATTCAGTTCAGAATACTTTATTTCAACCTGGACTCATGGAATATTCAGGAGTGTCTTAGTTAGTTTCCAAATATTTGGGGATTTTCTGCATATCTTTCTGTTATTGATTTCAATGTTACTCCATGTGGTTGGAGAACATAATACTGCTTGAAGTCATAAGTTATTTAGACATGTTTTATGGTTCAAAGTGGGTAAATCTTGATAAATGTTATATGTGCACCTGAAAAGAATGTGTATTCTGCTGCTGTTGGGAAGAATATTCCATAAATGTCAATTAAGTTGAGTGATAATGTTGTTCTTCTATATTCCTACTGATTTTCTATATGTTCTATCAGTTATTTACAGAAGGCTCTTGAAATACCAACCTATAATTGTGGATTTGTCCATTTCTCCTTTCATTTCTATCAGTTTTTGTTTCATGTGTTTTGAAGCTCTGCTATTAAGTGTAAAAATGTTTAGGATTTTTATATTCTCTTGATAAATTGGCTTGCTTTATTATGAAATACCTTCTTTATTCTTGGTAGTATTCTTTGCTCTGAAATCTACTTTGATGAATACTAATTTATTAGTATTGAACTTCCTTTGATTAGTGTTAACATGGTTTAACATTAACAAGTGATTGAACTTCCTTTCAATTAGTGTTAATATAGTTTATCATTTCCATTCTTTTACTTTTAGCCTGTGTCTTTATATTTAAAGTGGGTTTACATAGTTTATATTAGAATTCACTCTGAGTTGTACATTCTGTGGTCTCTGACAAATATATAATGACATGTATCCACCATTGCAGTATGATACAGAACAGTTTCATTGCCCTACAAATCCTCTATACACTGCCTATTAATCTATCCCTACCCCTGAATCCCTTGAAACTACTGACCTTTTCTCTATCTCTATAGTTTTTCCTTTTTCAGAGTGTCATATAGCTAGAATCATACAGTATGATTGTATGATTTAAGATTGGCTTCTTTCACTTAACAATATGCAATTAAGAGTCCTCTATGTCTTTCATGGCTTAACAGCTCATTTCTTTTTATTGCTGAATAATACTTTGTTGTGTGGATGTACCACAGTTTATCCATTCACCTACTGAAGGACATCTTGGTTGCTTCCAAACTGGGCACTTATGAATATAGCTTCTATAAACATTTGTGTGCAAGTTTTGTGAAGACGTAAACTTTTACCTCATTTGGGTAAATACTAAGGAGTGAAATTGCTAGATCATATGGTAAGACTGTGTCTAACTTTGTAAGAAACTACCAAACTGTCTTCCAAAGTGGCTGTACCATTTTGCATTCCTACCAACAATCAATGAGAGTTGTTGTTGCTCCACATCCTCGCCAGCAGTCACTGCTGTCAGTGTTTTAGATTTTGGCCGTGCTGATTGGTCTTTAGTGTTAATTCATTGTTTTAATTTGTATTTCCCTAATGACTTAAGAAATTGAGCATCTTTTCACATGCTTATTTGCTATCTTCATATCTTTGGCATTTCCATTATTTTTGAAAGATATTTTCACTAGGCATAGAATTTTAGGTTGATAGGGTTTTCTTTTTTTTTCAGAACTTTAAAGATTTTTTTTCAGAACTCATCTGTTTTCTGGCTTGCACTGTTTCTGAAAAGAAGTCTTCTATTGTTTTTATATTTGGTGTTCTGTACAAAGTTAATTTTTTTCTTTGTTTACATTTGAGATGGTCTCTTTATCATTGATTTAGAGCAATTTGATTATGATGTGTCTTGGTGTACTTTTCATACTTGTTTTGCTTGGGGTTCATTCAGTTTCTTGGATTTATGGGTTTATAGTTTTCATCAAACTTGGAAAATTTTCAGCCATATTTCTTCAAATATCTTTTCTCTCCCATCCTCTCCTCTTCTTTGGGAACTTCAATTATACATATTTTAGGCTGCTTGATACCGTGCCTCATAGCTCACTGATACTCAGTTCTTTGTTTTCTTTCTCGCTTTTCATTTTGAATAATTTCAGTTGCTATATTTTTGAGTTCATAATGTTTTTTTTGCCATGTCTCATCTGCTATTAATTCCATCCAGTGTATTTTTCTTCTCTGTAAGTTCAAACTGGATCTCTTATATCTTCCATGTTCCTACTTACCATGTACCATCTTTCCTCTATATTCTTGAATATATGGAATATAGTTATAATAATTATTTTAGTGTCTTCTCCCAGTTCTTTTCTCTCTCTCACTTATGTGTTTGTTTCTGTTCATTGATTTTTCTCATTGTTGAGTCACTGCCCTGTTTCTTTTCATGCCTAGTAATTTTTGATTGGATACCAGATATTATGAATTTTATCTTGTTGAGTACTGGATATTTTTGTATTTCTATACATATTCTTGCATTTTTTTCTGTGACACAGTTGTTTCTTGGAAACAGCTTGATCCTATCATAGCATGTTTTTAAGATTTATTAGGCAGGACTAGAGCAGCCTTAAAGCTGTAGCTACTTTTTCCCCCTTATTGAGACAATACCCTTCTGAGTATTCTGAGACTCTGTAAATTACAAGATTTTTTGCTCTGGTTCATGAGAACACAAACTATTCCTGACTCTGTAGACTCTAGGGCTTGTTTCTTCTGCTTCTTTCAAGTGCTTCGTCTCATCCTTGGGTAGTTGCTGTACATATAGGTGGCAGTCAGTACTCAGCCAGAAGCTTGAAAAAGAAACCTCTGTAGATGCACAAAGCCTGTCAGTGGGAAGTGCTCATCTCTCCTTTCCTTTCTCTGCCTGTGGCCTGGAAACTCTATCCACTCAGTATGCTGGGGCATTTGTAGAGCTCATCTTTTTATTTCCCCTTATTCAGGTATCACTGCCCAGGATTTCAGTATTTCAAAACAGTTATTTCATGTATTTTGTGTGTGTATTTGTTTTAGTAGTTTTAGGTAGAATTAGTTCTTGACTAGAAGCAGAATTTCAGTTAGTATTTGGATAAAAATTTTATTTCAGGATCAAAGCAAACATAAAGTCATTGGCAGAGTTAGGAATGGCTTACAGCCTTTGCTCTTGGAACATAGTCTCTCGTTGGAGGCTAGCTCTGTTTATTCTAATTCATGGAAGAAAGTAAGCCGGAAAAGATGTTTTCTCATACAAGTCTTCTTTTCTTCTTTCTAGTTCCCACAGGTTGATTGTAGTAAAGGTTATTTATATAAGAATTAGGGAAATTTATCAACAGTAATTATAATGGTTAGATTACTGTGGACTTAAGACTGAAAAAAAAAATCAGTACTACAAGCTTTTGTCTTTGCTGGGATGAATTCCTAAGACATAGTCTTTTATTTTTTATATTGTAATGTAAGTGGTAACTTTTACAGATAGGCTTTTTTTTCCTAATAGAAATAATGTCTCCTTAGAAGATTAGTTAGGTAATTGCACATAAGGAATTGGAAGTTATTAATACTAAAGAGAAATCTGTGCTTAAAGTTTCCAAAGGTCATGTGGATCAAGAAGATACTCTAATTGGAAACCTCTTACAGCATGATCTTGCTACTGTTAATATGTCTGGATTTATGAAAGAGTATTAAAAAAGAATGAAATGCAAATGCTTTGGCATGAGTTTATGATTTCAGACTTAGTCTTGGTCTAAAGAATTTGAGAAGTTACTTTCTCAAGAGATTTTTGTGAATTTTACATTGAAGTAATGCCAACTGTTTTGATTTATGGAGAATGACATCTGACAGAATACCTCAGAGAGCCCCAGCTACAGGCAGAGAGAAGGAAGCTTGAAGAATACATCAGTGCATCTTTTCAATAGTAGCAATAAGGGTCCATTTCTGGAAAGTAGTGTTAGCAGCTTGATCAGTCCAGTGTTAAGATGTGGGGCTTCAAGCCCCTTCTAACCCAGCAAGTAGAAGCACAGTTTTGAAAGGCTTTTCAAATGATTTCTATAGTTACGCTACTAAGATTATCGTATTAGCATGTATAGTGAATTAAAGCATTAACGTTACACTGTGCCTTTTCTATCATGCATACCTAGTAATCAGTGTCTTTGTGATAATCCTCTAAAGTGAAAGATAATATATGATGTTAAGCCAGTGAACCAAATATTATATCATCATTTAAAACTAATGCTCAGGTGAAATTTATGAAATCAAGAATGACCTGAAGTATTTCAGAGAACCTGGAGTTTGCTTTCCTTAATCCTTACTAATTGCTTGGTTTCATTTAACAAATAACTTAGTTTATAGAAGGTGAGATAAAGGAAGGTATTAAAGATCAAAAGTCTTTAAGATTTGTTGCATTGTATGTACTCTACTCTTGAGTATCTATTTCTTGGATTATCTCTGGCAGTGTAAATATCCCTACAACATACCTTACCGTCTCTCATTAACCTAAATTGTCTTGTGATCCAGAAATACAAACTGATATATATAAATCTGTTGATTAAATATTGATCAAAAGATGATTAGGCTATGGTTTATATAAAGTTACTCCTTATTTGAGTGGTTCGTGGTCTGAACTAAAAGAAATGCTATACAGAGTTTCAGATTCATTCCCTTTCCCCCACCAAAATGTACACATACACATATTCTTCTTTCCAGTATTGCATGCAGTTAGTGTAAATGATAAACATGTTTTCTTATCTTGAACATCTGCAGTAACTTTTTTTCCACTTGTGATTGGTTGACCATTTTTAGTAGGATTTTCTTTTTTTACTTGATCATTTTTAAAGGTGGTGTTTGTCATAATTTAAATTTTATGTTATTAAAGTTGAACCAGGTAAATTCACAGAACTGAATATGGACTTGGAAGGAGGGTATGATACCAAATCAAACGGGATTTCAGTTTTTCTTTTCCTTAATAGCTTCAGGAAAAAACTTTGAAGTAACTATTTGGTTTATTTTTAGAATTCTGTCTGGCTCTTCATTTATATGTTTAGAGAATATAGTGGAGTGGGAGTTTAAAAATGGAATTTAGGAATATTTGGCACTTGAGTTGAAGTGATTATAGTTTGTGACTCAAATGTGGAGAGATTAGAGTAAAAAGCGTGAACTACTTGGATTTTCAATCTTGGTTCTACCACTTATTAGCTGTGTTATTTATTATTTAGAACAAGTTGCTTGGCCTCTCTCAACCTTAATTTCCCCACCTGTATACTCAGAGCTATGATTATGAAGATCAGATTTACAATAACATATGTAAAGTATGATGCATACAAAACATGCAATAAATATTAGCTGATATTAGTGGAGCCAGCTTTCTGTGGACTTTAGTTTGCTCATTTGTAAAATGAGAGGGTTGGACTTCATATTTGCATCGCTATTTTTATAAATGTATTTAAAATTTAATAGCTTTTCATGAGTAAATTAAAATGATTGCTGTATACCTTAAAGGTCACCTAAGCTACCTAATTTTACAAATGAAGAAACTGAGGCCCAGAGGCTTTGCTTCCCAAGGTCACAAAGCTAGGTAGTAGCAGAGACAAGTGAAACAGAGATTTTTTTTAAGGTATTTTAAAGAGATTATACTATTTTCCTTTTATAATGAATTGAACTATCAACACATTATTAGATCTGCATTGTTTATGTGAAATTATATTTGGTACTTGTAGTGAGGGAACAACACAAGAAGCAGTATGCAAATTAACGTAAAACATGGCTCATGCCTTGCAGGACTTTACAATCCTTTCTTACATTACTGAAGTTACCTTCAGATATAACTCACTGTTTTACTGAAGCTGCAAATTTTAATTCCTGACTTGATCGTTTGAGGGTGAATATGATATTCTTTGTATTTTGCCTCTGCTAAAAAGGAGAATTTACTGGGAAAATTTGGATTTTACTAAAAATGTTTTCATGAGAATGCATAGTGCTTGAATGTACTACTTTTATATGTAGTAGATGACCTAACTTCAGAAGAAAATCAAAGTAAAAATAGCTAGAATACTTTTTTGAAAATTTAAGCTTTGGAGATTAAATGTTATTTTCTTTTTCATCTTAGGGCACAGTCAGTGGTGTGCTGCTAGTTACACCAAATAATATAATGTTTGATCCACATAAAACTGACCCCTTGGTTCAAGAGAATGGCTGTGAGGAATATGGCATCATGTGTCCAATGGAAGAGGTGATGTCAGCTGCAATGTACAAAGAAATTTTGGATAGCAAAATAAAGGAATCCTTACCCATGTAAGAGTGGTATTTATACTCTTTGCAATTTTATTGCATCTAGATAGTTGACCCTGGTCTAATACTCTTAGTATTTTTATTAGTTTTTATTATAGCTGTTTTTCATTTTATCAATAATGAAACAAAGGTATATGTAGTATTGAAAAGTTTATTCTTAGTTGTGCCTAGAATAGTTAGGAATTGTTTTAGATTATATTTGTATATTTGGTCAGAGAACCAAATATTAAAAGGTAACCCATAATACTCATTTAAGGAAATGTTTACCAGCCCTTTTTAATCAAATATAACATTCAGAATTCTTCATTATTTCTATGAGCAAATTAATGCAATATAAGTAATCAGGGGTAGCTTTCAAATTTTCTTTAGAGGAGCCTGAAGAGTCAGGTGTGTGATTTGGGGGAGGCCACATGAGCAAAGATCTGATACTGCCAAAGCCAGAGCAGCTTTGTTTTTAATTGATTGATTTATATGTTTGCATTTTTATCCCTCAGGAAAGTATAAAGTAGAGGGGAGAAGACCCACAAATTGCACAAATATAAAGAATTAATATACTTGGAATATACTGATCAGGGGATTTGTATGACTTAGATAACATAGGTGTGAGACTACAAGTCAGCACAGCCTTTGAAAGTAATGTGCTTGACCAAAGGAATGAGCAGAGAGAAAAAAGAGGAATAAGAAATAAAAAGAGAAGAACATACAAGATAGGTAGACAAAGAAAGGAAGAAGTAAAAAGGAGGAAAATTGGTATGTAATAGAATGGAACTCCTTCATTCCTTTGTACATTACTTTGTGTACAGTTTAAAAACTGGCCTCACTTTAACTGATACTGAAATTTATATCACTGTATTAGCCCACAGGGATGATGATGGCTGTTTTAAAATTAACTCTGTGGGACAAAACTACTTACAAAGGAGAAGAGACGAGCAAATTATTTTTTTCTGAGGCAGCTTACATGAGTTATTAGGATACCTGTAGTAGAATAAAATCCCCCCTTCAAACAGTCTCCATTAAACCTTCCACCCAGTAGATATTATTTTAGCTTGGTAAATTCATCTTCAGAGGTGCAGATAATTCCTAGGATATCCTCTACTCTTAGTTATTTTTATAGATCATCATCCAAAGTCAGTTTCAGCAAATAAGGATTATTGGGGTGAGTAGAGGGATGAGACAGAGGTGACAGAGTGAAGAATTAGACTAAAAGAGAAACAATAAGATTATATATATGTATGTATGTATTGTCAGTCATTGGTGAGATTCACTTTATGTTGTCCTGCTTTTCCATTTGTATTATGATATTTTGCCAAATGATCTGTAACTATTCTACAAAGATGCTGTATGGCTTCTCTTGCAAATCACTGTTTTATCATTCAGGTCACCTGGAAAGACCATACATTTGATCCAAACATTTAAAAGAATTGCTCCAAAAATAAATATCTTTCAATCTTGCCTTATGAATTGATTGGAAAACATATTTAGCAATAAATCAGATAAATAAATCAAGTGGTTTTGCCATATCATGTATGGCAAAAAAGAAGTGTAAGATTTGATTGATTTTCTTCTGTCTTTTGTTGCTTTAGAAGCTGATTTGAAAGGTATTATTCTGGAACTATCTTGAACAATAGCAGTATCATTGACATAAATATATATTTAGTCTTTTGGCATGTTAACTCTGAAGGTTACAGCACTTACCTAAATATGTGTCCTGGGGCTGGCCCGGTGGTACATCGGTTAAGTTTGCATGCTCCACTTTGGTGGTCCGGGGTTCACCAATTCAGATCCCAGGCACAGACCTACACATTGCTCATCAAGCCACGCTGTGGCAGGCATCCCACGTATAATATAGATGAAGATGGGCACAGATATTAGCTCAGGACCAATCTTCCTCAGCAAAAAGAGGAGGCTTGGCAGTGGATGTTAGCTCAGGGCTAATCCTCAAAATATCCTGTTAGGTTTGTTAACTTTGTTTCTTACCTAAGTGTCTTACTAAATGTACAAACATGGTTTCTCAAAATTTTTACCAAGTTCCAAGACTCTATATATGCAGGTTGAGTAGATCATCAGTAAATGACACTATTACATATTTAATAGCATTAATTAGATGCTTGTGTTTCTTAAGGTGAATCAGATGCAAAGGAGGTACAGATATGAATTGGACTTTAATTAATACTTTTTTAAAAAATAAATTTTACCTATCCTAGTTATAAAAATTAGGCATACTCATAAAAAATTTTAAAAATACCAAAAAGTAGAATAAGGAAAAGAGTTACCCAGCTTCATCATCCAGAGACAGCCAGTTTTTAGTGTGTCGACTTGCTTTCCAGTCTTTTCTATTCTCAAACTTGCGTAAATGTTAATATATTTTTCACTAAGAACTCATGCAATTTCCATTTATCACAAACTACTTTTAACTATTGTTTTAAATTGCTGACTTTTATTTCATACTATATATGTTTGTACTACCTCCTTCTAGAACTTACTCTAACTTTTGAACGTTAGCACTTAAATATACAAAGGTCATTAAACTTGGAACTCTAGATGTAGTTATAAACCATTCAGCTATCTAATATCTAAACTGTTTAGCTGAACAAGTTTGCTTGGAATTGTTATTAAGAGTTGATGCTGTTAGCCTAAAGAATTCCTCTAAGTACCTTTGCCTTAGTTCTGTTCAGGTTGGTTTTCAGCTTTGTATTTACACCATATATTTTACTTTAATCTCTATGTAAATGTAAATATGCACTGTGTGTATGTACACATGTGTGTAATATGAATCAGTGTATATTCGCTTTAAGACATTTAAAATTTTAATCAAAATTTTATCTAAGCTTATTTTCCATATTCCATTGGTGAATAAGTTTTGGTTTAGAATTATAGGTTCACCCAAAACTTTTGCATCATCAACTTCTCTTCAGGTAGATTAATTCAGGAAATTTTACATTAATGTTTCCTATATCTTAAGCATTTAATGCAAAAGCTTGACTTAATTACTTGGTCTATATGAATAAATTAAGTTTTTGATATGCTGCTAAGAGATTTATGCTCTATCCTTTTAAAAAAACCTTTTTAGTGATATTAATTCAGTGGTAAGTTTGTGGAAAATAAAATACTACAATTTAAAAAGTTTAATAACTTTTAATTTTGTTTACTGACAGAGAGATAGATCTCTTATCAGGAAGGGACTTCTGCCATTTAAAGAAAATGACAAGAAGTAATACTGATGAAATAGACTCAAGAATCCGTGATGCAGGTAATGACAGTGCCAGCACTGCTCCTAGGAGCACTGAGGAGTCTCTTTCTGAAGATGTGTTCACAGAATCAGAACTCTCTCCTATACGAGAAGAGCTTGTCTCTTCAGATGAGCTGCGACAAGATAAATCATCTGGTGCGTCATCAGAATCTGTGCAAACTGTCAGTCAGAGTGGGGTGGAATGTTTGACAGTCATATCGGAGTCCACTAGTACAACTGATCGTTTAACATCTGATCCTGGACAGTCTGCAAATGAAGTTGGGACTCTTTCTCTTAAAACTGATTTAAATCTTGAAATGGCCACTAAGAAAGGAGATCAAGCTACAGATAATTTTCAAGAAATATCAGGTTCTAAAGAACAAACCACAAGTATAAAAGGTAATGCAGACCAAGATCTTAATGAGAACTCACTACACCAAGAAGAGGGTGAAAAAGGAAGTATGCCTTGTGGTGAAGCAACAGAATTTAAACAAAGGCAAACTGTCAGCAAAGGAAAACAAGGAAAGGAGCAAAATCAGGACTCAGAGACAGAGGTAGAAGAGCTACGGAAACTCTGGAAAACCCATACTATGCAACAAACTAAACAGCAAAGGGAAAATATTCAACAGGTGTCAGAAAAAGAAATTAAGCATAAAATAGCAACTGCAGATATCGAAGGTAAGTGTTGATTATATAAAGTTAATTCATCTTATTGCATATTGTCTCCCTCTTTCCTCACTGATTCTAAAAGCTCTTGTATCTTAGGGCACTCTGAAGGATAATCTGGTAGTGCTTGACTGATGTTTCTCTGGAGACAGGTATATGGTCTGTGAGTTCTACTGTCCACGGTGGATTGTACAAATAATGAGCATCTTTTCCACCGTGTTTATATATTCCTAACCCACTGCATTCTATCTTTAAAAAATTTGTTTCTCGGCAGTGCACACAAGCACTGTAATATCTTTGATTTCTACATTTTCTCTTTTTAGTTCTTGGTATGTTACTGTATTAATATGTATTTTTTCATGGCATATAATATCCTAATTATTTGTTAAATAAATAATTATTTGTTATAATAAGTTAAAATCCTATCTTAAAAAAAGTGCAATTAGACATAAAAATCTATTTCTAAAATTCTTCCAAGTGTCCAGAAGTTCCATCGTTGTCTGATATATGTTTTCCTTTAAAAAGCAGCACTAAAGATAAAGTAAAATACCATTTTCTCTTTCAGTTTTGTTTTTTGGTACTATTTACTTATGAAAATTATAATAATAGTCCTTTATTTCTAAAATACAGTGCTTCTGCTTAGTACATTATGAGTTAGATGGGGTGTAGCTCAGCTATCTTAGCTACATTTCTTATATTCTATTGGAACATTGATTCCAGATTAATCCAACTTACATATGAACATTTCTGTAATTTTTTAAATTCAGAATTTTTTTATTAAAATATACTTAAAATTTGCCATTTTAACCATTTTAAGTGTAAAATTCAGTGCCGTTAAGTACATTCATGTTGTTATGGAGCCATCACCACCATCCGTTTCCAGAACTTTTTCAACTTCCCCAAGTGAAACTCTGTACCCAATTAACAATAACTCCCATTCTCCCCTCCCCCCAGCCCCTGGCAACCACCATTCTACTTTTTATCTCTAAGAATTTTTGCCTCTACTCTAGGCACCTCATACGAGTGGAATCACACAATATATGTCCTTTTCTGTGTGACTTATTTCCCCTTAGCATAATGCCTTCAAGTTTCATCTATGTTGTAGCAATGGTCAGAATTTCCTTCCTTTTTAAAGCTAAATAATATTCCGTTATACATATCACATTTTCTTTATCTGTTCATTCATTAATGGACATTTGGGTTGTTTACACCTTTTGGCTGTTGTGAATAATACTGCTCTGAACAGTGGTGTACAAATATCTTTTCCAGTCCCTTCTTTCAGTTTTTTGGGATATATGCCCAGAAGCGGATTTGCTAGCTCCTATGGTAATTCTGTTTAATTTTTTGAGGAACGACCAAACTTTTTCATAGTGGCCGTACCATTTTACATTCTCACCAGCAATGAACACAGGTTTGGTTCAGTTTTTAAAATATTGAATTTTCTTTGCATCATCTAATTTAGACATCCTGAAGACCTAAGGATTATACTCAATAGATATTAAGGAATTCGTTTACTCAAAACAAGTTCTATAAAAGATTGAATATTTCTTCTTTTGTAATATATTTTCTTTGTTCAGAGCTAGTGAATGTTCATTAACGAACATTTGTCAAATATAGGAGGTTTTTAGAAAATTTCTAAAGATTACTTGGAATTCATCACCTAGAGATAATTGTTGCTAACATTTGATATATTTATCTTTGATGCATATATGCATCTACATGCACATATATATACAATTTTGGTATTATTTGTACGTATATCTACATATGTATTTATTTTTTATAAAAAATAGAGATTATATTTTGTGTAGTGTTGTATCCTACATTTTTCACTTACCATTTTATGTCATCAACATTTTCCCCTGTCATTATACTTCGTTGAAAACATGGTTTTAATGGCACTGTAAGTTAACCATTTACATATTGTTAAGACATTCAGTTGTTACTAACGATTCATATTGTTAAGATATTTCCTATCTTTGATGTAAAGAATGCTGGCATGAATATGTTTATTTGATATCTTTGTATCTGATGGTTGCATTTTATTTCTAAATCTTTGTCAAAGATAAAATAAGGGGTTCTGTTTAACCCAATAATGTGGTAGATTACTTTCATTTTAGTAAGTTTATTGGGGTGTAGGGTTTGATGAGGGGGAGGTCCTATTATGACATAATGCTCAGAGGAGAAAAATTGGTAAATGTGTTTAGATAGGTATCTTCTTTTTTGAGGTGCAAGATGGGAGAATGAAAATTAGTTTTAAGTAACTTGAGAGTCTATAATAGGGAAATATTCAAAGTTTTTGGTCTTTAGTGACTAATATAAAAACCGTTTAATAAATATAAAACTGTGGAATATAATTGTGGGAAGAATGGTAAAAGTTCACTCTTTTAACCAGATGCAAATATTGGGGCTCAGATAAATTATGTGCCTTGAACAATATTACACAGAAAAAAAGCCACGACTAGTATCCAGATTTCCTGACTATAGCTACGTACTTTTTCCTCCACAATATGCCACCTTCATAAGCTAATTAATGCCCAGATTCCTGAATTCAACCGATTGTCAAACCCTCAATATACCTTATATCAGCATGTCTGGTTGGAAGAGTTAGAGATAATTCAGCCTTAATAAACTGTCCAGGTGGCTGAATCTAGCATACTGTTAATTGTTTTATCATACCTTCATATGTATGTAAAAGTTTCAGAAACTTTGTAATTATTACAAATTTTTGTAACAACCATATTAAAGTAAACCTTTAAAAATTTTACAGACTTATTTAGATGTTAATCCCAGAAGGCTGATAAAGAATATATAGAGAATTATATATATATATATATAATTACTTTGGCGTGGTTGTTACAAAAAAATCTAACAAAAGAATTCCTGAAGCTTTCACATTTTTTCCTGATATCCTTGGATGTAATTTCATTTCATACCTTGGTTGTTAGTTCATTAGTCTTGCTGTACCTGTCACTCTACTTTTGATGGAAAAAATACAAGTTACTTAAGAAAATTGACTTAGATGAGTATCAGTAAATTGAAGTTATATCTGTAGTTATTTGTCCGAAGTTTGGAGGTAAACATTACTTAATCTATGTTATTTAAGCATGGTGTTACAGAATTGAAGAAACACTTTGTGTCTCAATTCTAGGTTCTGCACTTTTGAAAGAAAAGAGAAGGCATCGGTTACATAAGTTCCTATGTCTCAGAGTTGGAAAACCAATGAGGAAAACATTTGTATCTCAAGCAAGTGCAACAATGCAACAGTATGCACAGAGGGATAAGAAACATGAATACTGGTTTGCTGTTCCACAAGAAAGGTAAAAAAACAAACAACAACAAAAACTTGAAAATATTATTGAGATTCCTTGAATTAAAATTATTTTGTATATCACACCACCAGTGGCAAAGTACTTTTGAAATATATAGTTTATGATTAAAACCTGACATCAAATCTATTCAAAATCACTTAGCTCCTATTTTATACTCTTTAATTTACCCCATTTTTAATTTTATTCACCTTTGTGGTTTAATGCAAAAAATATGAATGTGTAACTAGTTTCAGTAGTAAAGAAACTTACTTAACATGTCTCAGAGCAAGAAGGTTCATTAAAATATTAACTGGTATGGCCCCTACTTCAAGGCACGTAATGATGTATACTTCCTTTTTTAAAATTTCCTCAAGTACTTATTGAATGCCTATATACATAACACTAAATTAGCTGCTAAAAGGATGTGGTCTTCAAACTGCTTTTTATACCCCCTACACAGTAAAGTTTTTCATCATAAGTTGAAGCAATTGTACAGGATGTTTGCCATCACTATATTGTAAATATTGACTTTTTAAGTTAAAGCTGTTACACTGATCTTTTCAATATATCCGGTAGAATCTAAACAGCATAAAAATTTACCCTCTACCGTTATGCCTTTCAAAACTACTTCAATGTGCTCTTCTATAATAGTTAGAATTTGTATCATTACTTTTCCTCTTTGAACTTATACCATTACACCTCCTCATAGAATCTTATTATAAGGTCCTATATTTTTATTCCCTATTGTATTTCCCTGCAGCAAATTGCACTTATATATCTGTGTATATTATTACTGTTACATTTATTTTAAAATTTTTAGTGATATTTTTTGAAAATTTTGTCAAAATAGTAAAGGGTGGTCTAAGGTTTACCCTACTTGCAAGCTAAGAAGTCTGCCTCAGTTTGATGCATGCTGGCAGAAAACACAAGAGTAACAACAATAGCAGTAGTCAGAGTAGCAGCATCTTCATGAGTTCTTTGAGCCTCGTTTCCCGTAGTGTGATGTGAAGAAGGCCAGGTGACAGCTGCACGTGCCATGAGTTATATTACAGAAGAAGAACCATAAGTTTAGGAAACCTAAACTTTTTATAATGTACAGTAAGCGTGGTTACCCTTTGCTCCAGAAGGATACTACTTCAACCTTCTATGACTATGCTGTATTTCCTGTGCTAACATACTTAAAAGATAGTGCTGAACAAAGTACTCAAGACATGCAGAAATCCAAGAGGAAATTGTCTATTAACAACTACATTATTCCAAATGTTACTTAAATCCAGAAGAAAATTTTATTTTACTATTACAATTATTATTAATACACAGTTGATCAAAGTAACATAAATTATTACACATAAAAAATATAATATCATAGGAAATGACTTAATAAAATAGATGGGGCTTTCCTTCAGTTAGTTTATATCCCTTGATGAATATTGTTTATTGAAATCATGAGATAGGATTCAGCCCCTCAGCTCTGGCTCCTCCATTTTTTGTTTTTTTAATAAGTACTGAGAAGTTTTGTTCACAGAAAAATATGAGACTGAAAAGAGTTTTATGAGAATGTGACTCCATTCTTTAAACATGTTTTTATTTATATTCCAAAAAATACTTAATCATCTTTCATTAAAATTATTTTTAGTAATCATCAGTGAACAACTCCTTTAAAAACTTCTTTAATTTTGTGGAAATCAATGAATTAGAAACCACCTGATATGCAAAAGGATTTATTAACCAGCCTTTAGAATCGTTTCCTTGTCTCAATGCCAACTTTGGGCAGCCTGGAAGTTTTTATAATTTAAGTTATGTACCATTGTAAAATTTTGCATGGGTGAGGCTATGCCCCTTTTTTTAATAAAGTAGAAAAAGTGCTATAGTGAAGGCAGAGAACAGGAAATCTGTAAGATACCTTGACCACACTGTTCTCAGGCAGATTAGTATGAGTGAAGAGTAACATATGGGAGTAGAAGATAAAGAAATCGATTCCCTTAGGAGTATCTTAAGTGTCCGTCTACCTCATGGAAAGTCTTTATATACTGCTCTGAAGACTGCTGCTTTCAGGGATATAATGATGAAATTCTTCTTCCTCCCTTTCCCATCCAAATACGCAGTACAATGTGTGCATTCAACAAAATGTGATTAGAGTAATCTAAAAATACGGTATGATTTGCATAATTCACAAATAACTGAAAGGCACAGAGCCAGATATTGACTTGCCAATGATATTGAGATGACAATGAAAAATTTAACTTATTATATCTTAGTTAAAACTAACAAAGATTTAGTTTTTCTCATTTCTGTTGGCTTTATTTTAATTTTTACATGGAATTTTCCATTTTAACGTCATTGCACCTTGGCTAATGTTCATTAAAAATTAGTTTTATTAAGATTTTGAACTTTATTGTATACATGTAATTTATGAACATTGCTGTTTTGGTAGAGGCAAATTGTCTAAAAGCTGAAACTTAACACCCCTTTAATATGTTAGCTGGCACATAAGAAACAACACTTTAAAAAAAAAATCATTAAATTAGAAACGTAACTTCCAGAACTGTTGTTACTGAGTGGTGTATGTTAGTTGAGACTTTTGTACTCAATTTTTTGAAGTAAACAAAACATAGATATTTGAAATATGTATTTGACCCTCGAATGTTTTTACCAGGGATTTAATTATCTTTTTATAACAACAAATTTTACTGTAGTAAACAAAATTGAAAAGAGAACAAGAGATTTAAAAGATTAGATCATCTATCCCTGAATCACTAATACACTGTGTGTTCCTGGTATCATTTAAAAGTTAAACACGTTAAATTTCTGTTAACTTGGAAAAATTCCATATAGTGTTCAGGTTTCAAAATAGGCAATTAGTAAATTGTTTACTTGTATTTTAGATAATTAGAACATTTTGGGAATGAGGTCAAAATTGTGGGTTCAGTTTCCCTTCCCATCATTAGTTTCTTTAAAGAGAAAAAAACATTACCATGGATAGCATGTGAACTAGTGAAAAGCATGCTAAGGAAAATCTTAATAGTTTTCTCAGAACAACTTGACAGAACACAGCCAAATAAATTTTTTTAAGTTAATGTCTTTCTGGTAGTGGGCTTTGTTATCTTTTTAAATAGAGCATAATGTATATTTTATGTACATTTTAAGTTTTCAAGTTTTGTCAAGATACTTAGCAAATATAATTTTGTAATTCTTGCTAACAGCGCAGAATACTAGGTCTATTATTAATAGTCACTTGTTCTAACAGGACAGACCACTTATATGCCTTCTTCATTCAGTGGAGTCCAGAAATATATGCAGAAGATACTGGTGAATACACCAGAGAACCTGGATTTATAGTAGTAAAAAAGATTGAAGAATCTGAAACAAATGAGGATTCTACTAATGAAGCAGCAGCAAGAGAATGGGAGGTAAGGAGAAAAATGTGAAGATTTCATTCATCTTTTCACTTTGTGTGAATGTGTAGCTTTATGATAGAACAGGCAAAGTACGAGTGATCTTTGTACAAAAGAGTAATGTTTTTAAAGGTTCACTGTCCATATATATATATGTATATATATATATATATATATATGTGTGTGTGTGTGTGTGTTTTATTGAATAAATCTGGTTAGTAACTTTAGTTTATTACTATTGGTCATTTTCCTTTTGCTTTAAAATACTAGAGAAGCAACTTGTCAGCAATAAAATGACTTTTGAGTGCATTTTTGAATAATATTAATTGCTGTTATACTAATTTTCATTCGACTTTTTCAGATATGATTCATTTTAATATCTCCTGTATAGAGGAGGTTCAGCAGTTATTTAACATGTTCATAGAAATGAGCACTTATTTCTAAGTCCATATGCAAGCGTTATCTTGACATGAATTTAGCAATAATATAAGGGAAATAAGCCGATACTAATTTTACAAAGTAGTAAGAATTTTCTGTTCTCAAATTTACTGAACTTGTCCAAATGACCAAATTAACACTGGTTGACTTTTTATAACCTCTTTTAGATACATCCTTTAATATTGCATATCCTGTTATACATCTTTGTTTTGTGGGATTGATAGTGTGACAGTATCTGGTGGTTTTTCTGTTGTTGTTGCAATTGCCTGAATTAATTTCTTCTTGATGCATTAGAAAATATAGAGCAGATGCTAAAATGTGATAATAAATGGAATCAACTTTTGTTATCCATTTGGTGTTAATGTTTGTGGTTGTTTATGTGATTTTAATTTATTGTGCATGTGCTTAACATGTATAGTGATTGAAGGTATACATGGCATGTCTTTTGTTTAAAATGCAAACCTAATTTTGAGTGTGTCTAAGTCCACTCTGTGTCGTGTTTACACATCAGTTTCTACTGTAACTCCAATATAACGGAGGGAAAGAGGTAACATGTATTGAGCATTTATTTGGGACTTTTAGTACTTAAATTAACATCATTAATCTTCAGGCTGCCAGCTTTATTTGCAATAACCCCAAATTGGAAACAACCTGAATGCCCATCATCAGAAGAGTGGATAAATAAATTTTGGAATATTCATAAAATTCCAAGTAACATGGTAATAAAAAACAGACCTACTGGTACAGGCAACAGCATGAATGAGTCTCACAGATAATATGTTTAGTAAAAGAAGCCAAACTAGACATAAAAGAGTATATGCTGTAGAATTTCATTTCCATGAAGCTCAGAAGGGCAAAACTAGTCAAAAGTCCATCAGACTACCTGTTTCTGGGGGTTGAGGAGTTGGTTGGCTAGGGGCAGGAGGGAACCTTATTGAGTCCTGGAGGTGTTATATATTTTTTTCTGGGTGATTGTTACACTGGTGTTGTCATATGTAGAATAATCCCTATGTATTTAAAATTAACTTTAGGAAGCTTTTAAAATAACCCGGGTGACCAAAGATGTGTACCAGTATTAAGGTAGCAACAGTTGAAGATACCGTGGAAGGAGATGAAATAAAGTTTTTTAAAACTTCATTATCTAGCTAATACAGGATTTAGTGACAACTAGGTAATGATGACATTTCTAACGTGAGTGGTAAGGTGGATGGCAATATATTCAATCAAGTAAGGGAATTGGGAGTTTTCTCTCTATTGGGGTTAGAGCACTTAACTTTGGAAATAATAGACTATTATTATTGATTATTTAACTAGTGACTATTTTGATTCAGAGGAACTGCCTCAATTCTTGTGGAGGACTCTGCAGGTTATAATTTCTAAAGGAAAAAATGTTTCCTCACCTGTTTTCAACCAGAATTGATTCAGATGAAAAGAAAATGGAAGAGAATTCTAATTCTAGAAACTTTTTGCTGCATTGTCTAGAAATTGTGCTGCACTGTCCAATATGGTAGCCATGCCACATGTGGTGAGTACTTGAAGTGTAGCTAGTGCAGCTAAGGAACTGAATTTTTTATTTTATTTAATTTTAATTAATTTAAATTTAAAAGCTGATACTTGATTCAGTAATTGGATAACTTAAATATGCTTGGAACAACTTGGATATATGAATCTTTTTCAACTATAAATTTCATGAAATGTAAATATGATCTAAATAAATCTAAATACAAGTAAGATCAGGTATTTCCTGTGAAAATTTAGTGTCTGAATTGAGATGTGCTATAGTGTAAAATAGACTGATTTCTATAGATACAGCAGCCACTAGCCTCATGTAGCTGTTGAGCACTTGGGATGTGGCTAGTCCAAATTAAGATATTCTGTAAATATAAATATACACTGGATTTAAAAAATTTAGAGTTGATGGGGCCAGCCCTGAGCTGAGTGAGCCCTGAGTGGTTAAGTTCACACCCTCCGCTTCGGCGGCCCAGGGTTTCGCTGATTCAGATCCTGGGCATGGACATGGCACCATTCATCAAGCCATGCTGAGACGGCATCCCACATGCCACAACTAGAAGGACCCACAACTAAAAATATACAACTATGTTCCAGGGGGCTTTGGGGAGAAAAAGGAAAAAATAAAATCTTTAAAAATTTAGAGTTGAGAAAATATAAAATATCACTAATTTTATATCAGTTATGTTGAATTGATAACATTTTGGACATATTAGGTAAAATAAAATATATTGAAGTTTAACTTTTTTTTTCTTTTTTAATGTGGCTACTAGAAAATTTATGATTGCATATGTCCTGCATTGTATTTCTCTTATACAGTGCTAGTCTAGTGTCTTATGGTTACTAAGTGCCTAAAAAGTATTTTTTTCATCCAAAGTCCATTGTTCACTGTAGGGCTCACTCTTGGTGTTGTACTTTCAATGAGTTTGAACCAATAAATGTATAATGACATAAAAAATATTGTAAAAGTTAAAATAATGTTTTAAGAAAGGAATTTGGCTAGAGGACTTATATAAAATAAGAGTACTTTAAAATGTGTAGTGATATTTTGGGGTTTTTTTCCCACCTACCAGGGGAGAAGAGGTGACTTCGAATTTAGGATGAATTTATTATGGCAACCAACTTGAGCATCAGTCTGTTTGAGTAAAACTATCTGCTCTACTCACTTTTACTCTGCTTCAGTGGAGATCTTGATTATCCTGACTGTTATTTAGGCAGAAATATATTGCTGACTAGAGATTTATACATTAGGGAAACTTCTGCATACGGTAAACTTACCTTCACTTCCACTGCTCTTCTATTTGCCTCCTGTCCCTCTCCCTATGGAAGTGCCATGAGGGCAGGGTTTTGTCAGTTTCATACACTACTATGTCCTCAGCATTAAGAATGATGCAGGCATATAATTTATTCTCAATAAATATTTATTAGAGTAATGAATAAATTTGGGCATAGATTAATGTAGTATATAAAACTTCTACTCATCTTTCAAAATTGGTCCATATCATAAAATAAGTTCTTATGTCAGTTGTGGTAGATATTTTGTCATCAATAATATATATAATTTTGTACATTATATAATATATAATATAATATATAAAGTCCATAGACTCTGGAAGTTGGAATTAACTGACAGTCCAGCCTCTCTCATTTTACACTCTTCTTGGTTCTGCTTTAGCATATTCAGTGATAAGGAGTTTATTACCTCAAGGAGCAATAATTTACATTTTAGGACAATTCTGTTAGAAAGTTTTTTCTTACAATGAATTTAAAGAAACATACCTTTGTAGGTTTAACCCATTTGTCTTTGTTCTTTCTCCCAGTACACATGAATAACAACAAAATTTTCTATATCCTCTGATAAACTGGAAATATTTATCTTTCTTTTAAATCTTCTTCAGGATTATTTTCTCTGGTACTTCCACTGTTTACTCTTTTAACTCTTTCTAGATCCTGCAGTATCCCCATCATTACCTTAAAATGTTTCAAAACATTTATAATTATGGCACCCCAAATTACTGAAATGTGGACTTGAGATAGCAAGAAAAATTCTGTGATATTTAAAATAATTTCAGTTCCAAAATATGCAAATTGAAAGTCAGTCCTATTGAAGATAATTAGAAAAGACTGGAATTTAACAATGAGAAATGGTGAGAAAAAGAAGGGAGAACGGAGAGATTTATATTTATATTAGAGATTTTTATATGATATATTTATATTGGAGATTTGTACAGTAAATTCCAGAGAGAGATGAGAGCAGCAGAAACCTATGTTTACTAAGAAAGAGAAAAGTTAGCTACATTTTAAGGTGATCAGGAGTAAGAGCCTTGATGATACATCAGAACTAAAATTGCTGAATATTGGGAGAAAGAATCAGGAATACTATGCATATAACTCAAGATGTGTGAGAGCTTGATATTCTTTAATATATGCACTTTATTGTTTTAGTTTAGTCAATATAAATATAGTTAATGTAAAACATCAGCTTGCTTCAACCTTGTGTTTTTTTTTTTTTCTTCCAACTTTGTTTTTTTAGCCATATCTTAAGTTTCTAAATTATGAGTCTGCTAGTGAGAGTTTAATAATCTTACCTTGCATCTAACAAGGTACTGCTTATTGTAAAGTCTTTTCATCTGGTTATCTGCCAGTATCCAATGACAGGAAGTCAGTAGAGCATGTATAGTGAGGATGATATTTGATATGGGGGCTTTGCAATTTTGTGAAAAATGTTATTTTTTGGTTTTTGATGGGGGTTGTTTGTATGGATATTTGCTGAAAAGGGAAATGCCCTAATACATTTCAACAAAGTGTCAGGAAGGTCCTGAGGTAAAGGTGGGGTAAGAGGCCTGTTGACACCTACTGTTTCCTGATGATAGTGCTTTGATTTGGTAAATATACAAAAATAGATCTTAATAATATAATGAATTTGCATATACCAATCACCAGTTTTATCAACTTATTTCATCTATAATCCCTTCTTTTCCTCAGTTGTTCACATTTCTTCAAATGTCATAAAAATGTGTAAAATACATGTAATGTGAATGTATTTTTACAGTTTGTTATTTGAATCA